TTACCAGACTACTACCATCGCCACCACTACACACCAACCACTACCACTACTGCCACTATACTACCATTACCTCTCATTCACCCTGCCACTTCATCTACTCTACCACTACCACAACTTCACCACTAATCTCCTTCGCCGCCACCACCACCACCACCATCATCTTTATCCACCACCTTCACCACTACTGCCACTCCTACTACCATTACCTCTCATTCACCCTTGCCACTTCATCTACTCTACCACTACCACAACTTCACCATTAATCTCCTTCGCCGCTACCACCACCACCACCACCATCTCTTATCCACCACCTTCACCACTACTGCCACTCTCTATCCTCTACAAAAAAAAAAAAAAAAAAAAAAATCATTAATTACCAAAAAATATATATTTTAACAAAAAATATTTTTTTGACGACGCAACTCCCGTCGCAAAAAAAAAAAAAAAGAAGAAAGTTAAACGACATTATTTTGTATTTAAATTTCATTTCTGACAAAAAAAAGTATTTTTATTCCCCTGTTTTGTTTTCCATTCCCGTCTATTCTCTCTCTCTATCTCTTCTATCCGTCTCTCACTCATCGTCTCTTCTCTCACACCCATCTCCTCTACCACCTTCACCACTACTGCAAACGTCATTCCACCACCACCACTACTTCCACTGTCGCCACTTCACCTCTATACTACCATTACTACTACCATCGCCACCCCACTCACTACCAACCACTCACACTAACTGCCACACTATCTACCATTACCTTCTCCTTCACCCCTACCACTCCATCTACACTACCACTACCACAACTTCACCACTAATATTTTCGCCATCACCACCACCACCACCATCATCTCTTATCCACCACCTCCACCACTAATTGTCGCTCCTTCCTCATCCTACAAAAAAAAGTAGTTCATTTTTTACTAACCAAAAAAAATAGGCCGTAGAAAAATATTTTTCATTGACACAGAAAATAAACTTTATTTTTAGTGGAAAATATTCATTAAAATATTACCCTACTCACCAAATAAATAATAATAATAATAATTTTTTAATAAAATAAAAATGAAAACAATAAATTTTCAAATCTTAGTAACTAAAAAAATGAAATTTTTTCATTAATTACAAAAAAAAAAATTAACAAAAAATAAATTTTTTTAACGACAGCAGCCCGCGTCACAAAAAAAAAAAAAGTTAAACGGTATATTTTATTGTTTAAATTTTATTTGTGACCCAAAACAAAAGATTTTAATTTTTTTTTATCCACCCCCGTCTCCCTCTCTTTTTTTTCATTCCGCTTTTTTTTTTTTGCCATCCCCCACCTCCCGGGCGCAAAACCAAAACCCCTAATCTCAACATCACTGTCTCTCTTACTCTCTCGTTTCTGCACCGATCACCCTCACTCTCTCGTGTTTATCTCATCGCACCGATCATCATCGCACAGCCGATCTACTCAACAGGTAAACTCTCTCTCTCAATCTCTTCTCTCTCTCTCTCTCCCGATCGTTGATTTTTTTGTTTTATATATATATATATATCTCTGATCTGACCTAATCGGCTCTCTCACTCTCTCAATCTTATCCGTCTCGCACTCACTCTTGATTTTGCATCTCTGCACCGATCGACTCACACACAGGTAAATATGAATCTGTCTGTAATCTGTGTTTGTTTTGCACACCGATCGACTCTCACACTCACTCTCTGTGTTTGTTTGGCCTCTATTTGGAATGTAAATATGAATCGTTATAATCTTAAATATAACTTTTTGGCCTCTATTTGGAATGTAAATATGAATCTGTTTGATCTTAGTTGTGTCTTATTGAATCTCTTTGTTTTATTAATTGTTTGTGTCTGTTATTAATTTGTGTGTGTCTTCCATTTCTGTTCAATCGACCCCTCGATCTTCTCTGATCAGAACTCTGCACCAGATTATGTTTCAGTCTCAGCTCTAGGTTCAGCCTTGAGGTACACCTAACTCTCCTCTCATTATTACCCGTGTTAGACGGACCCATATTTTGTGCTCTAAATTGTTTAGGTTAGCCTAAGCAATTTGCATATAAGCACGGCTCTATGGACAAAGTTTTTATTCATTGCTTCCGTTTGGCCCCTTTACTCTGACAACTTATGTCTGTTTTGGTCTGAGGCCGCAGGTAATCTCAGGATTACTGGCCGGTTATGCCCTTAACCCATAGGGGCGGGTTGGGGTCATGACACTGCCTCAGCTCTGTTCCAAGAGGTTGAAGATGCATGCTCGGTTGGCGTTCACTCGGAAATCCATTACCATGCTGTCAATTGCCTCTGTTTGCACTTGCCTTGATCTCTGAAAATTGTGCCAACCTCCAGATTCCCTTTACTTTAAAACAGGAATCTGCTGGTGGGCTACCAGCCAGAAAAAGTGAGTCCGGATCCTCTCCAGCCATACCCTTCAGCCTTTTCTCCTGTCAAGGGCCAAGATTTGGCCACGTCACTAGGGCCAAAACCCGCGGCTCAGATCAAGTTTGGTTTAAAAAAAAAAAATTTGAATTGTTTTTAATTCAACACAGCAGTAGAACTTCTCTCCCTTTCACTTTTTCTCTCCTCCCTCTTCGAAGCTCAGATCAAGTTTGGTTTTAAAAAAATATAAAAAATTGAATTGTTTTTGATTCATCACAGTAGCAGAACTTCTCTCCCTTTCACTTTTTCTCTCCTCTCTCTTCGAAGCTCAGATCAAGTTTGGTTTTTAAAAAAAAAAAAATTGAATTGTTTTTTATTCAACACAGCAGTAGAACTTCTCTCCCTTTCACTTTTTCTCTCCTCCCTCTTTGAAGCTCAAATCAAGTTTGGTTTTTTTCTTAGTAACTAAAAAAAATGAAATTTTTTTCATTAATTACAAAAAAATTTATTTTAACAAAAAATAAATTTTTTTAGCGACAGCAACCCTCGTCACAAAAAAAAGAAAAGAAAAGAAAAGAGTTAAACAGTATTATTTTATTGTTTAAATTTTATTTGTGCCCCCCCCAAAAAAAAAATTTAATTTTTTTTTATCCACCCCCCGTCTCCCTCTCTTTTTTTTTTTTCATTCCCGCTTATTTTTTTGCCATCCCCCCCACCCCTCGGGCGCAAAACCAAAATCCCTAATCTCAACATCACTGTCTCTCTTACTCTCTCGTTTCTGCACCGATCACCCTCTCACTCTCTCGTTGTTCATCTCATCGCACCGATCATCATCGCACAGCCGATCTACTCACAGGTAAACTCTCTCTCTCAATCTCTGTCTCTCTCTCTCTCTCCCGATCGTTGATTTTTTTTGTTTTATATATATATATATATCTCTGATCTGACCTAATCGGCTCTCTCACTCTCTCATCTTATCCGTCTCGCACTCACTCTTTGATTTTGCATCTCTGCACCGATCGACTCACACACAGGTAAATATGAATCTGTCTGTTAATCTGTGTTTGTTTTGGCACACCGATCGACTCTCACACTCACTCTCTGTGTTTGTTTTGGCCTCTATTTGGAATGTAAATATGAATCTGTTATTAATCTGTAAATATGAATCTGTTTTGGCCTCTATTTGGAATGTAAATATGAATCTGTTTTGATCTTAGTTGTGTCTTAGTTGAATCTCTTTGTTTTATTAATTGTGTTGTGTCTGTTATTAATTGTGTTGTGTCTCTCCATTTCTGTTCAATCGACCCCTCGATCTTCTCTGATCAGAACTCTGCACCAGATTTATTGGTTCAGTCCAGCTCTAGGTTCAGCCTTGAGGTACACCTAACTCTCCTCTCATATTATTACCCGTGTTAGACGGACCCATATTTGTTGCTCTAAATTGGTTTAGGTTAGCCTAAGCAATTGAATTTGAGGTTCTTAGATTTGAAATGTGGTGTTAGTAGAATTAGATGACAATTAACAAGCTGTATATATTTATGTACTATTTCTCAGTTGTTTTTTCAGTTAACTTCAATGAGATTTGTGGTAAAGTGAAGTAGAATTGATTGTTCTTACTGCATTGCTCTCTTGAGATATAGAATCAATAGCTTCAAAGGATGATTGTGTATTTACTTTTCTTGTGGGTGTGTGTAGGGATGAAGATGAATTGTTGAATACTCAGTGTCCTCAACATTTGGAGCTGAGATGGCAGACATAAGTTAGTTCTAGTGTATATGCTACCCCCTTGATTGCTGATATAAACAGGTGAAAAAAAAAGAAGCTTTCCTTTAAAGTATTTTATGCCGCCAATTTTGGTTTTAAATTCATGTGACATATTTCATTTGAATTAATCATTTTTCTCTTCGCCTTGTTTTAAGAGTATTGCTCAAAATTTTCTTGAAAACACTCTAGGAAAGGAAGCCAAACTTTGATGTTACCCATTGGAATTAATATAAAGCAATTTTTTAAAATTAAACTTTAACCCAAGAAAAAATAAACAGATTATTTTTTCTGTAGCTTAATGACAAAACAAAATTGTGGGTTTGAAATGTAGAAAGAGCCTCTCCACACATGGTGCATCTGACCCCTTCCCAAATCCTGCAAAGGCAGCAGCCTCTTGCATTGGGCTACTTTTAACTGACAACACAGTTTTCCCAAGCTTCACAGTCAAATACCCTCCGAGATGAGTGCATTCAGCAGAGAAACCTTCAATGTCTAGAAACTTCAAAAACGAAATAAAATATCTAGTAACTGTTATTCTTTGATATCAAGGATTTGTAGGGAACATGCTTTATTTTTTGCCTAATGATTTTAATATTTGTGGTGGACAACATGTTTTATGCTGTATTCATATTTTATATCTCAGTGACGGAAAGCTCGATATAGTTGTTCCCTCATTTGTTCACTACCTGGAAGTCCTTGAAGGTTCTGATAGAGATAAAATGCCAGGTATAACTTGTTATTGGTTATGTGTGAAAAGCCAGAGTTGGAATATGAATTTTCCTTCTCATTGCATTATGTTAAATTAGAAGCATTTAACTCATTATTTTCTAGTCTAGTGAGAACTTAGAAGTACAAGAGCATGATGAATTTCAGGTTTTCATGTTTTTAAAATCATTAATCACTAAGGTTTTAAATCGCGGTATTAGGACACATAATGGTAATGGTTCCAAACAATATGCATATTGTTCTGTGAATCGACCTTGTTTTAGTTTTTGCATCTCCAGGTAGGAAGTTACATGCGAATGCAGAAGATCGCGAATGTAGAAGATGATTCCGATGAAAATTTAAAAGTTTGCATTATGATATATGTTTTGAGTTCTCAATGTTCTTTCACAAACTAAGCATTAGATGTTTTGCTTTCTTAAAATGTTTTGCAGGATATGAGGTATGCTGAATTGTTACTATTATCTGTTGTTAGTAAAATATTGTAGTTGGTGTTGTCTTTAACTTGCATATTTACTCGCAGACCATCAGATACTACCTAAGAAAGTTTTTGTTTTGAGATTTGGTGTTGGACCTGTTGGTGTTAATATTTTATTTTTTTAATCCTTTTGACTTCAAGACATCAATTCATTCAATCAACTTGTTGAACCTCCACTTATAACTTGGCATTTTCATGATCATGCACCTTTATTTGTTTATTTATTTTTTATAAGTAATCTGTGCAAAATAGACAAGTCATGGAGTCTGTGGAATTGCATTCTAGTGTAATGTGATTTTGATGTAGGAAGTGTACATAACAGTGTATCTGCATGCAATAAGGATGCTTGCATGGCATTGTAAGCCTTTGTTCTGATCCTGGAGAAAGAATGTAATTAGGTCCATATTTAGGTTAAAGACTATTTATACATTTTAACCAATCCATGGTTATGTATAGTCCAACATTAACTAATATGCATACATAGATAAATTTTGTCTCTTATTTCTTGATTGAGAGCTAGTATATGGGGGAAAAAAAATCTTTTGATTAAATTGTGACATTGGACTTAGAGGGAAAAAATCAAAGGTCAAGGTTCTGGAAATAGTTTGCATGTATGGACTGAAACTGAGCATTCTTTTTTTTTTCTTTTTTTTGGGTACATCAAAAATTGAAAAACAGACAAAAGACGTAAACAGAAATAAAGAGAAACTAAGGCCTCGTTTGGGAAGTGTCCCTGTTAGTCAAAAAATCAAAAAGTTACTAAAAAAATTTAAAAAACCAACAACTCATACCAAAAAGTCAAAATTTCTTTTTTTCTCTACTTTTTGCACATCTTTTCGTAAAAAGTCAAAAAGTCATCCCAAACATACTAATTTTTTTTACGTTATATTTTAACCAAAAAATCAAAAAATTTCTAAAAAAACCTATATCAGCCACAATTTGGCTACGGATCTCATCTGGGGGGTCTTCCATGGCAACCAACAATTCATCTTGATTTGCACTCATTCAACTTCCAAAAGTTCTAATATACCAACTACAATTCCCAAATTTCATTGAACAAACAAATGATGATTATTCTTCTCTCAAACTCCCAAATTATCACTTATAATATTGGAATTTGGTAGCAAGTCCTAATACACTACTTTTATGGTATTGACTATTGAGGATGAAATACTTTTTATTGTATGAATCTACATAAAACTAAATTAAACTTGTGTCACAATTAGTTGGGTGAATTATTTTTTTGTTATTCTATCCTATCAATTGTTATATATTCACTTAAATTAAAAATGAACTTAATTAAAATATATATATATATATATTTCATTGCATTTGCATAGTGCTCTTAAGTCACTATGTTTTCCATCTGCTATTCTTGGACGACTTGCTGGAGGCTTGTCTAAAAAAGCTTGCCAAAAGGCTGGCCAATCATGGGCTCTACCATGTTGGAAACACAACCCTTGGATCTGGATTATCGCCGTGCCAATTGATCCCCTCGTCACTTTTCGGTGTTAGCTATGAGAGGTATATTAGGTAATCTTGCTGAGGTCCTTTTTTGACCATATTGACCTAGTGCATGTAGTGAGCTCTAGTGACCATTCAAACTAAGGCAGGATGCTCTCTCATTTTTTTCAGGATATTGTGATACCGCTTGTTTGAATAGTAAAGCTATAGATCACTCCAAAGCTAAGACAGGGAAACCCTAACCTCTCATAAGGGTGTCTTGAATGCTTTTGTGCAAAATGTGAATTCTTTGGCAATGTGTGATGTAATCCTTGGAGAGTCTTAATCTTGAGGTGGTTCTTTTCAACCTTAAGGGTCATATTAGAATCAGAATTTAGGTCAAAATCTAGGGGTTTGTGTTTGATATGGTGAAAAAATATCAGAACCAGAACTAGGGCCAAAAATTTTATTTTGCTTTATTTTAACCTACATACCTAGTATGCTGATCTGATGGGGCATTTGTTTTAATGCTAGGTTTGTCTGAGCTAAAGAAGGAGTAGTACCTAACTCTGCAAAGGCCCAATCCAATCTGACCCGGAAAGCCTTAGCCCATCACTGTCCATTCAATCCTAGAAAAAAAAAAAAAAAAACCCACCCAGCAAAGGTCCTGTCCATCTGATCCCTAAAAGGCTAGCTTAGGAAAGATCCATCCAATGCCAAACGACCCATTCTAAAAAGCCCAATCTAGTCAAATCCGTATAGACTAATCCACTTCAGATACATTAAGTGTAACCAGGTCAAAGTCCTTGTTAGTCAATTTTCAGGTCATACCCATCCAGTTCCGTAATTGCCAACTCAGCAAACCCGTGATATTATGGCCATGATGATAGCCTTCCAAAAGGCCATGGATATACTAAACCAGAGAATTACCATGCAGGGTGAGACCATTGTTGAAATGCAACACCCATTTGGGGCATCTACCACACATCCAGTCCTGGCTACCCCGCCAACCTTGATCCACCTTTGCTAGCTGAAAATCTGTAGGCTCCGGACCTCCAAGAGGTGTTAGCTCAAGCTCAAGCTCAAGCTTTCAAGCCTTTGGCACAGCCTCATGGAGGGCTTCCTCCTTTTGACATCGATGACGTTGATCCTGCCATGATAAAAATCGCCAAGCTGGTGAAGATGCTTAAGAAATCGCAAGGCTTCAATTCAATCCCGGACATTAAAGACGGTTATACTGAGGCTTCTATAAGATTGCCGGAGAAGTTCAAAATGTCACATATTGACAAGTTTGATGGAAGTGGAGATTTGATTGTCCACATCCGTCTCTTCTCAGATGTCTTTAAACCAATGGGCTTGACGCGAGCTTAGAAATTGTCGTTATTTGGAAGGACTTGATCAGAAGTAGTAGCCACCTGGTATGCTAAACTAGAAGACTCGAACAAGCAGAACTAGGAAGAACTATTTAAGGGATTTTTTGATCAGTATTCCTACAATACTCAAATGGAGGTAACGATCAGCGAACTAGAGGCAACCTCTCAAAATTCCAAAGAACCCTTCATAGAATTTGTTGCAAGATGGAGGACGAAGGCCGCATGAATGACCAATAGGCCTTTAGAGAGGGAACATGTTCAGTTGATAGTTCAGAACCTTGAACCAGACATGTTACAGAGGATTACAGTTCCGCCACTATCTACCTTCACTACTTTACATGAATTAGGGATTTAGATTGAGAGCGCTTTCAAGAAGGGAATTATGCAGAAGTGAACCGATAAGGAGGGTGATTATCGGGAGTACCAATCCTGGTAGTAGCACTATTCCCAAACCCACTGAAATCAATACCGTTGCCACCACTCCCAAAACTGCCACCCTTTTGCCAATATAAGCCCACAAATGACCAGCCCAGCCTGAGCTCAAGGCAGAACTTTCACTCCTCTCTATATGAGCTTAACCAGCGCAATAAAACTCCTGGTGGAAAAAGTGTATCTCAAACCCCTTGATCCCCAACCTCTTCCTGACCTACTCCCTGCTAGACATAACCCCACCAAATACTATGCGTACCATTAGCAGCGCGGTCATGGCACCGATTGTTGCTACTGCTATCATGACCCGAACCCGCCCCTATGGGTTAAGGACATAACCGACCAGTAATCCTGAGATTACCTACGGCCTCAAACCAAACCAAACGTAACTCATCAGAGTAAAGGGGCCAAACGGAAGCACAATTTAAACTTTGTCCATAGAGCTGTGCTTACATGGCACATCATAGCAAACCATACATATATGCGTTAACAACTCACACCAAAATATGTATTAACATAAAGCTCTGTACATACAGGATCTATCAAGTCTAGGTCAGCCAATCAAAACTATATACATACAACACAAACCAAGGTCCTCGCCAACATGACAACATAAAATAGGATAGCAAAAGGGTGAAGACGAGTCTCATGCGTGAGACGCAAGGGCAGACTCTTCAAAACTTTGGTTGTTCCACACAACTTCACTGAGGCTGGGTTTGGACCACTTTGGGCTCACCTACAAACACATGAATAAGCGTGAGCGAAAGCCCAGTGAATAATATCAAATAAAGAAGTTACACAAACGGTATTTAGAACAACGTGCTTCAGACGGCCTTGGGCCCAATTCGTATTTCTATCTGGCATATACATATAATACAGGTCAAGTGACTGTGATTCCAAACACATCATACGGCCTTGGGCCCAATTCGTTCGTGTCATACTGGCTTTTGGCCCGTTTATCCTTCAGACTGGTCAAACTGGCCTTTGACCCATTCATTCTATCACGTCAAACTGGCCTTTGACCCACTCATTCATTCATGTCAAACTGGCCTCTGGTCTATTCATACTTTCAATCATGTCAAACTGGCCTTTGGCCCATTCATTCATTCATGTCAAACTGGGCTCTGGTCCATTCATACTTTCAATCATGTCAAACTGGCCTTTGGTCCATTCATTCATTCATGTCAAACTGGCCTCTGGCCCATTCATACTTTCAATCGTGTCAGATCAAACTGGCCTCTGGCCCATTCATCCTTTCATTCAGATCAAACTGGCCTTTGGCCCATTCATTTATAGCAAACATTTGTCCACAATTCAATTAACAAGCTTATAAACTTATAGAGAGATAAGTAATTGGACAAATGACATATTTCAAAATATCTTTATTAAGATATTACTCATAGTGATTGGTTGGATGATTTGCCCTGGAGCTTGACCCTACACATTCCATGAACACAATG